CCAGCGGTCGCACCAGCAGCCGCCCCTACTGCCACTACCCCCGGTTCCCCCCCCCGTTCGGGTCCCCGCATCTCACCAGGTTGCTTCGTCCCCCCAGGTGTCTGTGTCGTGTCAGGTTCCTACGTCTGCTCCAGTCGCTGCGTCGTGCTCCTGCCGGTCGCTTGCCCACCCCACCGTTCTGTGGCACCACCGGATGGGGCACCCGTCCCTTCCTCGTCTGCGTGCTATGTCTAGTCAGCGTCTTGTCCTAGGCCTCCCACGTGTCTTGCCGTCGCTGCCGCCTTCGCTTGCGCCGCCGTGTGGTCCCTGCGTCGAGGGTCGGCTGCGCGCCGCCCCTCACTCCTCCTCCCTTCGTCCGGCCACCGAGCCTTTTGAGACGCTTCACTTGGACGTCTGGGGCCCCGCCCCTCGTCTAGGCCCTGAGCGTGAGCGCTACTTTCTGGTGGTCGTTGACGACTTCTCCCGCTACACCACAGTGTTCCCTCTGGCGAAGAAGTCTGAGGTGACTTCTACGCTGATCAGGTGGTTGCTCACCACCGAGGACACTCGTGGTCGTTGTGTCAGCTGCCTCCACTCCGACCGTGGGGGTGAGTTTCGCTCCGGCATTCTCGCTGGATTCTGTCGCGAGCAGGGCATTCGTCAGTCCTGGACGCTTCCAGAGTCCCCACAGCAGAATGGGGTTGCTGAGCGCCGCATAGGCCTGGTCATGGAGATCGCCCGCACCTCCCTGACTCACGCCTGTGCCCCCCATTTTCTGTGGCCCTACGCGGTCAGGTACGCCGCGCACCAGCTGAACCTCTGGCCACGTGTCTCTCGACCAGAGGTTTCACCGACCAGTCTTTGGACAGGGTCCCCTGGTGTTGCGTCGCGGTTTCGTGTCTGGGGGTGCTTGGCTCTTGTCCGCGACACCTCCGCGGACAAGCTCTCGCCTCGTGCCGTCCCCTGTGTCTTCCTTGGTTTCCCTGAGGACTCCTCTGACTTCACCTTTTACCACCCTCCCTCTCACCGGTTCTTTGACTCCCGTGACGTCCGTTTCGAGGAGTCCACTCCGTACTACGTCAGGTACCCCAGTCGAGGTCTCCAGGTTCCTCCTCCCCCCCTCTTCCTGACTGCCGCTCCCCCTCCTGTTCCCCCGGTACAGCCTCCCCCCCCCTGGTCCAGCCCCGTCGGGTGTGTCCCAGGCTACCCCTCCTCCTTCGGTAGCCTCTCCGGTACAGCCTCCCTCCCCACAGTCCTCCTCGCAGCGTGCCGCAGGTGCTAGCTCTCGAGAGGTTGGTGCTGCGCCTGTTCCTGTACCGGTTTCTGGTTCTGGGGGTGGTGGAGTTGGAGCTGGAGTTGGAGCTGGAGTTGGAGCTGGAGTTGGCACTTGAGTTTCTGGTTCTGGGGGTGCTGGGGTTGGAGCTGGAGTTGGAGCTGGAGTTTCTGGTTCTGGAGTTGGAGCTGACCCGGTGGGTGCAGAGGACTCTTGTCGTCCGGGAGCTGGTGCTGGTCGCGCGGACACTGGGGGTGAGAGTGCGCCTCCTTCGGGTTCTGGTGAGCCTGGGTCTGGAGCTGGTGTTAGTGCTGCCTCTGGGGGTGGTGCGCCTGGTTCTTCGGGGGTGGACTCTGGAGCTACCGCTGCTTCGGACACTACTCCGCCCCCCCACCCCTACCCGACTAGGCACCAGGCTCGTGTTCGCCGTGCCCGTGACGAGCAGCTGGCGTTGGAGAGAGAGGAGAGGGAGTTACAGCGGTTGGAGGAGCAGCAGCAGCAGCTGGAGCCGCAGGAGCAGCAGCAGCAGCAGCAGCAGCTGGACCCGCAGGAGCAGCAGTCCCAGCAGCAGCCGCTTCCGCAGCAGCAGCAGTCGCAGCAGCAGCAGCAGCAGCCACTTCCTCCTCCTGTCTCGGGTCTTCGGACCCTTGGTCTCCCCTCCCCTTCTCCTCCCTCCTCCGCCTCTCCTCCTGTCTACGGTCCCACGTTTCCTCCTCCTGACTCCTCCCCCGCTGTTTTACCCAGTTCTCCGCCTTTGTCCTCTCCTCCTCCGTCTCGTTCTTGGGCTACTCGTCGCTCCCCTCGTGCTCGTCCCTCGTCTCCTGTTCCCTTCACTGACCTTCGTACTGCCTTCCTTCTTTCTAGTCCACCTCGTCCGTCTCAGTCTGTGCTTCCGTCTCCTCCTGAGTCGGCCCTCACTGTGTCGCTCCCTACTCCTGTCACTGACTACTACCGCACGTACTGTCCTGTTCTCTCTCGTGTTCTCGCCTCTCTTGTTACTCACCCTCGTGCCTCTGTGTCCTCTGTGTCCGCTCTTACTGCCGCAGTTACTGACTTTGCCTCTACCCGCCGCCTTGACTACGCCACCACGCTTGTGGCTGCTCCTCCTACCAGTCCTCTGGCCGTCGGGGGTGTGTCTACCCTTGGCTGTGACGCCCTAGAGGACAGGCAGTTTGAGCTAGAGTTCCTGGCGGCCGCTTCCCCTCATCTCTGTGCCATGCTCCTCGCCCCTGAGGGTGACCCCGACGCCCTTGACATTCCGACTCCTCGCACTTACGCTGAGGCAGTGTCAGGGCCTTGGGCCTCTCAGTGGAGAGCTGCCATGGACGCAGAGATGGCCTCCTACAGATCCACAGGCACCTACGTCGATGAGGTTCCCCCCCCTGGGGCGAACGTAGTCGACGGCATGTGGATCTACAGGGTGAAGCGGCCACCGGGATCTCCCCCGATCTTCAAGGCGCGCTACGTGGCTAGAGGTTTCAGTCAGCGCGAGGGAGTTGACTTCTTTCAGACCTTCGCACCTACCCCGAAGATGACCACTCTTCGGGTGTTACTACACGTAGCAGCACAGAGAGACTACGAGTTACACTCTCTCGACTTCTCCACTGCTTTCCTTCAGGGCAGCCTACACGAGGAGGTCTGGTTGCGTCGTCCCTCGGCCTTCACTGGCACCTTCCCTCCTGGGACCCAGTGGAGGCTGAGGCGACCTGTTTACGGTCTTCGCCAGGCCCCTCGTGAGTGGCACGACACTCTGCGTTCTACCCTCTCTGACCTTGGGTTCCAGCCGTCTTCTGCCGACCCGTCGCTGTTCGTTCGTCGTGGCTCCACACCGTTCTTTGTTCTGGTTTACGTCGACGACCTCGTTTTCGCCACTCCGGACAGGGTTGCTTTGGCAGACGTGAAGTCCGAACTGCAGAAGAGACACACGTGCACTGATCTTGGTGAGCTGCGCCACTACCTTGGCCTGCAGATCACCAGGGACAGAGCCGCTCGCACCATTACACTCTCACAGTCACACATGGTGCAGCAGGTCCTTCAGCGGTTCGGGCTTCAGCACTCCACCGTACAGCGCACACCTCTCGCTGTTGACCACAGACTCACTGGTCCCTTTCCTGACGAGCCGTTTGAGCCTAGTGGTCCCTACGCAGAGCTTGTGGGTTGCCTCATGTACCTGATGACTTGTACTCGCCCGGACCTCGCCTTCCCTCTCAGCATCCTTGCGCGCTTTGTTGCGCCAGGGAGACACCGTCCTGTTCACTGGACGGCAGCTGTGAGGGTGGCGAAGTACCTAGCGACTACATCAGGCGTGGGGCTAGTTCTTGGTCGTACTCACTGGTCACTGTGACTCCTCTTACGCTGACGACGCTGAGACTCACAGGTCTACTCAGGGGTACTTTTTCAGTCTGGGTTCTGGAGCTGTTTCCTGGCGTTCCACGCGCTCATCTTCTGTCTCGACCTCTACAGCTGAGGCTGAGATTTACGCTGGTGCCATGGCGGCACAGGAGTTGCGTTGGTTGACCTTCTTGCTCGCCGACCTTGGTGAGCGGCCGAGCTCTGCACCGACCTTGTTCACTGACAACAAGGCGTCGATCCTCCTCTGTCGTGAGCCGCGACTGGAGAGCAGAGTGAAGCACATTCACGTCAGGTACTTTCTTCTGCGAGAGTTGCAGAGACGTGGACAGGCTCGCTTCGAGTTTGTGGAGTCCGAGGCCAACACTGCAGACATCTTCACCAAGGCGCTTCCGCCTCGTGACCACCAGAGGTGTTGTGTGCAGTTAGGCCTTGTTGACACAGGTTCTAGTCATGTGTAGGCTTGAGTTTATTGCCTGCTTCGTCTGTACTCTTGCTATATATACTTGTGATCTCTTGGACTGGCCTTGTGGCCACTGTTGCTTGTGCTCAGAGAGTGTGGTGACGTTGTGATCCACCCTGAGCTTTGTTTTCTTTTGGACTGGTCTTGTGACCGTACTCTTTTTTATTTTGCTAGACACCCCTCACTTAGGCTATGGGGGTGTGTCAAATGTTGTAGCCTGTAGTGAGGTTTGTCTTAGGGGGTACAGAAGTTAGGGTTTGTTATATGTACCCCAACCAACATCAATGGCATCCATCATTCCTCATTTTGACATTTGCCTATGGGGGTGTGTCAGAACTTTATAGCTTACTCATTTGTGTAGGCTATAGTGGGGTATCCCATAGGGGGTACAATCCCATTAGGGTTTCCTATTTGTACTCACTTCATTCATAGTCATTTCATTCTCGTTCACTTCTTCTCACAAACTTCGCGAGATCATTCTTCACACCCACTATGATCTTGACTTGATTGAAATCGCAATGACAAGATGAACATTTTGAAGTGAAAACAACTAGTTTTCATATATGTCATTGTATAAGCCCCGACGCTTATAAGATTACTATATTATAAGCCCACCCCCTAAAAAAAACACGGGGTATATCCGGGGTATGACGGTACTATCACATATTTAAAGAAACCACAGAACCTTCACCCTCTCTCTCTGTGAGGTGACACCAAAGCTAACTGCCTTCAACCTATCGGCATGCGTGTATCAATTTGTACTATGCAAACTCGCACCCCATGCACTCTATCGGCACCCGATGCTCACTATGATTTCATGCACACCCCATCCACACTATCACCCCATCCACACTATCACCCCATCCACACTTACAACCCATGCACACTACACTATCGCCAAAAGCATGCATATTTCAACATCCAGGCAAGCAGCAACTAAAGCAGAGGAGGTCGGCCCCCGTAGGCGTTAAGGAGTGGGAACAACAGCAGGGAAAGAGCTGCAGGTGTACGTGTACCCAACTCCAAGGCTGTACGTGCAAGTGCGCGGTGAGGCGCTGTAGCAGGTGCTGTTCAGCGCGTTGCACGTCCATGACCCCCCACACGGGTACACAGCGCAGCAGATGCAATTGGCCATGCACTTAGCATAGTTTTTAGTTCTGGCCGTGGAGGTGCCGCCCAAAGTTTCAACAGTTAGGCTGCACTGCGTGGCGCAAAAGGAATTCCGGTAGCTGCAGCATGGCGCGTCAGGGTTGATTCCATATCCTAGATAGCATTCATCTCCTCGAAACCAGGTTGGATACGGGCAGATGGCTTGCGTGCAGCCAGTGGTGTTCAGCGGCGCCAACCCCATGCGATTAACGCACGCAAGCGAACACGGATCATAGCACCGGCTAACATCTTCATAGATTGGAAAAGCGTAATTGGAAGCTGCATGGCAGTACGACGGGTAAATGACGAAATCCACTCCGCACTTCGGCAACGACACCGCACAACCGGCGTCGATCATACCGATGCCTCCAATACAGGGGATGATGAGGCTGGTGTTGACCGCGAGCGGGGCAGACAAGTCGGCGATGAAGTTCTGGGCGGCAATGGCAGCGGGGGATACCGAGAGTGCCGTGCAGCGGGGGAGGTAGAGGGAGGAAATGTTGGAGAGGGTATCGTTGGCACGGACAGTGTAGATGGAGTAGTTGGCGTTTGGGTTTCGCTGCATGGTGGTGAGGAGAGGTGAGTCGATGCAGACTCGCTGACCCACCACCAGGTAGGGCGCCTGGCACTGCACCAGGGACGGGCAATGGCAAGGAAGAAAGGGGTAGGGGCATGTCAACGCAAATGGCAATGCAGGGAGAGGGACAGAGGCTGGCCATGCCGGAGAGTGGTGGACTGAGCCACAACCCAAGTGCAAGGACCCCAGCAGGACCAGGGGGAAGAGGGCTCGGGAGGGGTGAGAGGGGGGGGAGGAGGGGGGGGGGGGGGGGGGGGGGGTGGTGGGTGGGGAACGTTTTGTGGAAGGTGTCATGGGGCTGTGTGTGAAACTTAAGGAAGTTACTTGACTGCCGGGGTTGATGGCTCACATGGATGCCCGGGTTGATGGCTCACCTGGATGCCCGGGTTGATGGCTCACCTGGATGCCCGGGTTGATGGCTTGGAACATGGACATGGTGAGGTTGGCTGCATTCCAGATGGAGGGGCATGTGTCGCCCTGCATCACCCGGTACCACCCCGTGCAGTTGATGGTGGTCTGGGGACAGGCACACAAAGATAAGGGGTGAGAGTAGACGGGGGGGGATTGAAACGCGTTTAAACATGGAAACATGTAGTGATGATTAATTTGGGAGGAGTATCGCTAATAACCTGAAAAAGTGGTGGGAGCTCTTCATGCTTACCGAAGGTGCCATTTGCGCCACACAGACGTATGAGCCCACTGCAAGATTGCTGTTGCAGTTGACGCCTGGGTTGAGCCTGCACAGGGACAGAGCGGGATTGCAGTGATAAAGTCTTGACTGAGTAACCGTGGACATGCAGGAGGCAAGAAAGTGGTGATTCGAGTGGAGTTGAAGGACTTATGGATGCGAAACATGAATCTATAGGATAGAAGAAGAATATGAAATTGGAGCAAGGGGGGTTGGGACTTACAACACCAGTGGCATGAGTTGAAAATACTCACGAGGCAAATGTTGCGCTGTCAACCGAGTATTTAACAGCAACCGAAGCACAAGTGTCTCCCACGACCACAAAGACGCTCTGCCCACACTGTGGAGCCGACGATGTTGTCGATGCGGTAACCATTTGAAGGCATACTTGCTGTGACTTGAACAAGCGCTTGCACGACAAGCCAGGGTTGCTTGCAAGAAGGGAAGTGAGAGATCCGTTGAAAAAAGTGTTCGCTACAGAAGTGCATGTGTCAGAAGGTCGGACAGTGTATGTGTTGGTGCAGTATGAGGATAAGGAAGTCACTGCTGCCGAAACTGTAAGGGCAATTCCGGGAGGGAGGTATTCTGTAACGGAGCAGTTAATGAAAGTGTTCAGGTTTGTCAGCGTGGTGGTCGAAATTCCGAAAGATGTCGCGACAAAAGTGCAGTTGTCGCCAGGATTGGTAACATATGCTTTCGCGAGGCCGGCGGCAGGAATGCACGTTGGCGTACCGTCGACAGCAGCGCCGACGGCGTAACCCGCATTGCACGCACACGTGTACGTCCCGTCGCCCACATCGCTGCACGTTCCGCCGCCGCAGGGATTCACAGGAGCCGTCGTGCAGGGACTTCGCGGCACGCACTTGGAAGTCGGCAATCCCAACACCTCAACCATATTCGCCATCGCGCTGCAGTCGCACCGCGGAACTCCGCTGCTCATGTAGCAACTGCCCCCGCCGCACGGATTGATCATCCCCGCGCACGTCGTACTTAGGGTGGTCGTTTTCACAGCCGACGACAAATCGGAGCTGATTAACAACGAGGAAGAGGTGGAGAGTGTCGGATCGGTGATTGCTGCGATCGTGGCGGTACCACCGGTGGTGGTGGTTGTGGTGGTAGTGGTTGTGGTGGTGGATAAAAGGGAGAGGGTGGAGGCGAAGAGCGACGACGAGAGGTCGTCCACCTTTTTTATATTCCACTTTCCGCGCTTGTCGGACGCAAAGCGCGCCGGCTGCTGCCCCGATGGGAAGTAGACAGGGTACATGGCGGGGGTTCTGCGCGGAAAACGGGGGATGGTTAGAGAAAGGAAATAGCAGTGATGTAGTGGCATAAATGAACTTCAGTTGCCTCTAAGAAGCGTCTGGTAGCTTCCTAGGCGCGACTTAACGCAGCGCCTCCTACGCGCGACATAACGCAACGCTTCCTAAGCGCGACGGAACGCAACGCTTCCTATGCGCAACGGAGGGAGACTCAGCTGTCCTGGAAGACGGATAGACGGGAAGCGAGTTCGCGAACGTACGATAAGATGCCGCATTTCCCGCGCACGTCGGGCGTCATGGCGAGGTACATGTAGCCGCGGTCGCCCCACGTGGCGTACCACGAGTTCTTGATGATCCAGTAGCTGCCTTTGAGGTCCGGCCCCGTGTAGTTAAAGCCCACCACCACCACCGCGTGGTTCACGTCCGTCGTGCACAGCCCGTTGTAAATGTTGAGCACGCCGTTGCTTGAGTACGCCTGCACGTGGAGCGAGGTGGACGAAGAGGGAAGGAAACGCGGGGAATTAAACGCGGGTAACGCTAGGAGTCGGGAAACATTGGAAAACGCGGCAGATCGGACGCTCTGTGAGCGGAGAAACGCGGGAATCGGGAAACGGTGTGAGCGGAGAAACGCGGAAATCGGGAAGCGGTGTGAGCGGAGGAACGCTGGGAGTCGGGAAACGGTGTGAGAGGAGAAACGCGGAGAAACGCGGAAATCGGGAATCGTTGTGAGTGAAAAAACGCGGGGAAACGGGAAACGATGTGAGTGGAAAAACTCGTGGAATCGGGAAACGGTGGGAGCGGCGAAGCACGGGGAGGGAACAGGACGCGGGGGCGCAGGAAGGCGTACGGTGAAGTCGGCGGCGGAGGCGCTGATGAAGGCGACGACGGGCTGCATGCTGACGGCCTTCATGAGCGCCATGGCGTTGAATGCCGGCACCAGCTCCCACCCCGTGATCTGCGCCACGGACGGCATGGATGTGTCGAGCAGACACGTGGCGGAATCGTAGGCGAGGTAGGGGTAGTTGGCGTTGGACGTGACGCCGCCGTTGAAGAGCACGTAGGAGAAGGCCCACTCGGGCCACCCGCCCTGGCAGCACTGCTTCGTCGCACAGTCGCACACCTGCTGCGGCGACAGATTCGTCCCGACGCCGTTGTTGGCGATCGCCCACATTATAGCGATCGTATCGACGGCCGCGATCGCCCAGCAGCTTGAGCACTGCGGAGAGGTGTTAGGAAGGTAAGCGGCGGGTAAATACAATATCACGAGTCGAAATCAGGAAAACAAATGACACACATCTTGAAGAATCACAGCCCAATCCTTTGCTGGAGTCGCGAGCCGAGTGCTTCTGACGCGGCTTAGGACACAAGATACTGGAAACCAAGCGAAAGAGGAAGCCACGCGACGCGGGCGGAATACGCTGCGTCTGGATGGGTACGCACCACAAATTGCGTCTGGATGGGCGTGATGGCGACGGTCTTCCGCCAGTCGACGACGGGCGGCGGCGCGACGCTCTCCCAGCGGTAGAACGACATGTTCACCACCGCCATGCTCGGCCCCGAGCTGAGTGGCGGCGCCGACAGACCGAGCTTCACTCCCGTGTCCACCAGAACGCGCTCGCCGCGCCGGCCTCCCACCATTTCGCCGCGCTCCGCCTCTAGAATGCGCTCCTCGTGTTGCCGCCTCTGGTCTTCCGGAATGTCCCGAGTTTTTTGCATATAGATCTCATATTGCGATGGATTTTCGACGGCCGCTCGGGCTTCCTCAAGTGAAGCCAACGAGGCGTGAACAGCAAGAAGTAGTAGGAGCAGAACCGCGCAGTTGCCGTTTCCCGTCGTCATTGTTAAACCACCCAGTCGGTTGCCCGGCGAGTTAAGAAATGCGGCTCGAGTCTATCGCTACCACTGGCTAATGCGTTACCCGGCGCTCAAATGGAATCGCCTCAAAAGCTCCGAAATTGGCTCAATGCAGGTTTTGCTTCACACGGGGCAGGGTTGGCACGCAGGTCCTTCTTGGCTACTCCGTTGCTGACAGATCCGACCACTCATCTTTCCTTTACTAGTAAAGTACTAGAAGTGTTGTGCATACGGAACGCAACGCGGGTTTGAGTTCTGCTTACGAAGGTTAGGTGTGACTGGCCTGTGGGTCTGAAGCCGAGGTAGGTGGACAGGCTGGATGTAAGGCAGGCCTTTATCGCTCTCGTTCCAAACATTACTTCTGTCTGTGCCTGTCAACAGCCGCGACTCGAGAAAGAAAGTATTGACTCCTTTTTCCATCTCGGAGATGGACCCAGTCAGCAAGGGCGAAAGGTGGGCACAGGTATGCAATGATTCGTGCGTATCTCGCTCTTCTAGCCAGCCTGAGGAACAGAAGTAGATCGATCCAGTCAGCAAAGCAAGGGCGGATGAAGACCAAGCACAGAGATGAAATGGTTTGCGTTGCTCTGCTTGATCCGATGGAGGGAGGATGTTTGAATACACATGATGCCCGACCAGTGCACGCGAAATTGCCATGCACCGGATAGAAACGCTGCACCCGAGCTGGAAACCCCTGCTTGCTGCTCCCACAGTACAAGCACATGGGTGGCTGGCAACAGTACACGCAACTCGGCCATCAATGCACGTTCATTCCCGAACAAGCCACGCCAACCCACATTTCCTTTGTTTCTAGGCCAGGAGTCAGGGAGGCGAAATGAATGGACGAAACGACTATGGTTTCGTGAACGCATTCGCCCATCTGGGCCGCCACCTGAGCAAGGATCATCGTGCGTGTAACAGGCAGTTGGTCAGATTAACCCTGCCACGTGTATATCGGGACCTGCAAGGTACAAGCGCATTACCAGCCAGGCGTTGTTCGCCCGACCCACGTCATACATTCGAGGGTGTGGTTACCAAACCAGTTGCTAGAAAATGCAAGCCAGGTGCATGGAACGAACACCAACCACACAAATGTGACATCCAACAAAGAACAGGCCCCAGCCTTGCCCAGCACGCCCGACCTGTGATGATAAAATGTGTGCAACTAATTCACTAAGTCACTACAGTCTCTCACACCCCAGTCGCTCACAATGCCCCGCTTTAACCGACGGGAGCAGCTCCCGCTGCATATCAAGCGCGCTATTTGCGTGCACCACGTAGACAACCCCCGCCTGCGTCATGTCGACCTGGCGAGGTGGTGTTACTTGCAGTACGGATTGCGCCCAGATCGTTCCACTGTCGGCCGCATCTTGAAGAGCGCCGAGCTATGGGATGTCACGGCAGGTGGCGACAACCAAATGCGACGTCGAGGTGGCGCATGGCCTGAGCTGGAGCAGGCCATGGCGCGGTGGATCGCAAACGCAGGGCCCGCTGGCGTGCCTCTGACGCTGCAGACCATCCGCGACCATGTCGCGACGATGGCACGGAACATGGGCATTCCGCCCACATTCCGATGCTCCATGGGCTGGGTGCGCCGTGCTTTGAGGCGCCAGGGAGTGAGGTGCCGGGCAGCACAAGGCGAGGCGGCTAGTGCGGACATGGCCGCCGTGCGCCACGCACGTGAGAAGCTGCCGCAACTCCTCACGCATCTCGGTGTCACCCCGCGGGACACGTTCAACATCGATGAGACGGCGCTCTGGCAGTCAGTCCTCCCTCGGCGCACTTACAGCAACGGTCGCATTCCTGGCCGCAAAATTTCGAAGGACCGGCTCACCGTGGCATTCCTCGTCAATGCTGACGGGAGCCACGTCTTCCGACCGGTCGTTATCAGTAAGGCTAAGCGGCCGCACGACTTCCGCCCGGATTATGACCCGGAGTCCCTTTGCTACTGGCGGCACAACGCCAAAGGCTGGATGACCTCGCCGGTAAGGTCGTCGAGGTTCATGTTTAAACGCGTCCTTGATGCTTCGCATGTATTACGCGTAATAGCTCACCTAACTGTAATGTGTTAATGATTTCAAAATTCCCATGTACATTCCGCCTTCCCTCCCATTCCCCTACATGCAGTTATTCACGCATTTCATATCGCAGCTCAATGCTGCGATGTACGCCGAAGGTCGCAAGATTTTGGTGCTGCTCGACAACGCGAGCAGCCACATGCTCCGCTCACAGCTCGCGTGGAGCGAGATCGTCTGCGGGATGCGGACGACCTGCATGAGCAACGTGCGGCTCGTTTTCTTGCCGCCGAATACCACCGCATTCACACAGCCGCTCGATCAGGGCATCATAGCCACCGTAAAAGCCCGCTACCGACAGCATTGGCTGCGGGCCTTCTCGGCTTTGTGGAACGGCGAGGGCGCGACTACCGCCGTCGCCCGTTTCCGCCCCAACTTGCGCGATGTCCTCGCGTGGCTGTCGGACGCGTGGATGTCTGTCGGCGAGCGCACCATTCAACGGTGCTGGTGGCGCACGGGGTGTCTGCCGCTGTCATGGTCCCTGGAGCTGTCGCATGTACACGACGATGAGCCCACCCCTGCCGTCTACCCCGACATCGAGCTCGACGACGACATCGACGATGTCGGGACTCTCATCAGCGGGCTCGCACTCGGGAATGCGGCGATGACGGCCGCAGAGTACGTCGCCATCGACGACGGCGAGCCGACGAGCGCCGAGGGCGCTGCGGGACAGCCTGCGAATGAGCCAGAGTCGGGCGTAGACGCCGAGCTCTGGCAGGCGCCGACTACCATTCCCGCCGTCTACGACGACGCCGACCCCGTGTGCCGCGAAGCGCGGCACACTGCCCGGGCGGCATGCGAGATGCTTATAGGATATGCACGGGCCACCCGCATCACGCCGCGCGATCTGTGCCATCTATTCGATATACGCAACCCCATTATAATCGCGCGGATGGAGCGGGCGAGCCCGTCGTTCAACCTCAACGTGGCGCCTCAGCCCGTACTCTCCCCGGGCGCAACTCCCACGCCCGAGACCCCTCGTCCGCGCGGCCGTGTGCTGCCCGACTGGATGACCTGCCCGTCTCGCCGTCAGGAGCTGCTTGACGCCGGTGTGGGCGCCGTGATGGACGGGTATGTGGACGCGGCTGAGTGGATGCGTCTGTGAGGGTGGTGGTGGAGCAGACTTCGCAAGGTGTCGAATGCATTTTGATGAGAGCCCAAGTGTTCACTCATTGTGCACATTTGTGTGTGTTTCGTTTTGTGTGTTGAATGGAGATGAGCTCCCAAGTGGAGGATGTTGATTGGAAGGTGTTTATGTTTTACCTGTTTTGTACTACGAAGAACAATTGTTGTGCATGCTTCTTTCGGTACTGTAGCGTTCGTTTAGTAACCATAAACACACAACATGGACAAGTGCTGCAACCCCTTACTGTTGCTAATGAGACAAACAGGGTGGTTACCATGATCAGTTTTGAAGCACGCTGGACGCCTGACGAAATTCACGAATGCCCGCGAAATGCAGGTTTAGCTTACAGTCCCAGTTCACAAGGCAACCGGGAGAGGCTCTAACGAGCATCAGGTGTACTTCTGTTGCCTTGTATTAGGGCGTATTCCTGAACTTCGGGTCATCAGCACTTCGGGCATCCGAAATTGTAGGATCCAATTGGAAATTCGGAATCAAGAGATTGGGGTGCATTCCGATTTTCCGATTGGATCCCACAATCTCGGATGACCCGAAGTGCTGACCCGAAGTGCGGGAATACGCCCTTAATCTGGTTCTGTTCCCTTGTTTCAGCCTTCAGACCAGAATGTTTCGCGGGTAAGTAGGGATATACACTCCACGCCAGGTTGTAGTTTGATCAAGATTTATCACGGCTTTATCAGGGAATTGTCTGAGGAAGGCGTCGGGTAAGATGGCGTTCCTGAGATGGGCGAACTTCCGAACTTCTCCCTGCAGCAGTTCACAGAACACGTGCCTAAGGCATGGCAGCAACGGGGGGAGTGAATCTGGACGTCGCATGAGTTGGGCGGTGAGGGTCGTGCGATTTTTGCGCATGGCAACTTCCCCTGACGCCCAACGTCAGAACCACTGACGGTTTTGACTGTCACAGGACCGAGTCGTGACTGGGTTTGGCACGTTCAGAAAGGTCAAAGAATACCGTGACAAATGGAAAAGGAAAAACAGGCGCCAATCCAACAGCAGAAAGCAATTTCGTTTCACGGTCACCACACAGCACATGCTCTACAACCTACATAACCAATCTGTTTTTTCATCGGGTTCCCCCCAGACTGTTTTCGACCGTGTTATGGGAGAATGTGGCCGTTTGGAATTGGCGCATGAACGTTGAATACGAAAGCATGTGATTGGTTGGAAGTTTTCTCACATGTTTTTCGCACAATGAGACTGACATCGCATGGCACGTGTGGTGGGTGTGCAAAATACCCAGGACTGCCACGCTGGACCAATAGTGCAGCACTCCGAAGTTCTCCCATCTCAGGAACGACATCTCCGAAGTCAGGGAGGATGGGGCGATTCGAAGGGGATTCAATCGAAGCTGTCACGTCACGACGGCGACACAAACCAGCCCGGCTCAACCAGCGCAATCGAAATCAAGCACAGTGTTGTACACAACAACAAAAAATCATGTGGGAAAACCTTTCCTTTGCTGCGCTGGAGTCGCAACAATCAACCACGTTAGCACTGCACAGAAAACGCCGGAAAGTGCGGGGATGGACGGATTGGTTGGATCCAGCGTGGGTTGAGTTACTTCCTAGGACATTGCCGATCATACATGAACACTTTAATGAGTTGTTCAGCATTACTTTTGATGGACACCAGGCAGATAGAATGCTACATGACAGAAGTTACTAAAACAAATAAATACAGAGTCTATATAAAATTACTACGGAATTTGAAACTATCTAGCTACTCATGTACTTTAAGGGCTAAATTCCCTTAGCCATGCGGCGCAGGATCCCGTTTTCAAACCCGTTCCCACCTTTTTCCTGAATTATGCTTCTACCTACATAGGTCTCAACTCGATGCTTCAACTGATTTCGAATCTTCAGTTCATCTAGACCCCACTGGTCTCCGTCCTCTCCAACCCAACTGATAAACTAGTGCAAAGAGGTAGGCTATGGGATCAAGAGGAGCTCCTAATAAATTATAACAACCCAAGAATTGTTGGGCAGGGGCTCAAGAGAAGCTCCTGATGATCTATAGCAACTAATGTCTTGGTTGTTGTAAAGCTGTTGTATCGCAGTATAACCATGCTACACTGTGGTGGTAACCAGGCAGGTCTTTAAAGTCGGGTGGTAGTTCTGCTGCACAAGGAAATTCATCCCATCCAGCCCCACCAGGTTGTACTCCGCTCCAACAGCTATTGTTTCCACTGTGCCATAGCTGATTCATAGAAGAGTGGAGGAAGGGGAGGGAGAGGGGAGGCAGGACGGACGGAGGTGAGTGGGGGAGAGCAAAAAGGCCGAGGCATGTACGAGGGAGGGAGGTATGTACGGAAAGAGGTAACTTCATCCCATTCAGCCCCACAAGGTTGTACTCCGCTCCAGCAGCTGTTGTTTCCACTGTGCCATAGCTGGTTCATAGAAGAGTGGAGGGAGGAGAGGGAGAAGGGGGGCAGGACGGAAGGAGGTGAGTGGGGGAGAGCAAAAAGGCTGATGCATGTAAGAGGGAGGGAGGTGAGTGGGATTAGGAGAGGCGAAGGGGCCGAGGATTCTAAGAGGGAACGGTGCCATCAAGCCCCACAACATTGTAATCCACTCAACCGTCGCTCAACCGTCTCTTGTATCCGCTGTGCCATAGCTGGGTGAAGGGAGAATGGTCAGAGGCCATCTTTGCCTCACACTGATCTGACCCCATAGTCTGCATATAACCTGGCCGAAGGCCCCACAGCAATGTCCCAAACACACAAGTCCGGACAGCTCACCTCCAGGCGTAGATATCAGCGTTCTCCATGCCACTAGCGTCAGGTATGGCCCATGTACCCACCACATATCACGGCAGCTCACCAATCCACCCTCCATACCACACGCCAAACCTCACCTCCAGGCGCAGATATCAACGTTCTCCATGCCACTGGCATCGGTCCATGTGCCCAGGTACGGATCGGAGGTAGCCTCTGCGAGCTCGTGAGCGAAGATTGAGACCATTGCATCCATCGCCCTGGGCTCCAGCACCTGGCCGCAATGTGTTAGGCCCGACGGCCTAAGTCCGCTAAAGAATTAGCGGGGTCGACTAAGTCGAGGATGAAACGCGCCGGAAGACTTTGGCGAAAGAACTATTGGCGAAATAGGCGAAGAAGTTACTGAGTAATTGAAGAAGAGTTGAATGAGAATTGATTGATTATGGCAAGTACAAGCAAGGTTGATATAGCATGCAAGATCGAATGTCGGAAAGTACTTCGTGGGACTAGGAAATCAAGGAAGATAAGGATAAGGGTGAGTTGGAAAGTACTGTTCGGAATGAACAATAAATCCCCCCTTAACACAATGCACCAAACACACACCCCCACACCTCACCTCCACACATCACTAGCATCTCACCTCAAGGCGCAGACATCAGCGTTCTCCATGCCACTGGCATCGGTCCACGTGCCCAGGTACGGGTCAGAGGTGGCCTCTTCGAGCTCGTGGGCGAGAATTGAGACCATTGCGTCCATTGCCCCGTCTCCGTTGGGACTCCTGCCGCCCTTTTGCGAGATGGAGGGGGCTGCACACGAGCGCAGGCACTGAGGTGGGGAAGGAAGCGGGAAGGGGATTGGTTGGGGAAAGCCAAATGAGGCATGTGCGTGCTCATGGGCAAGTATGGAATCTGTCCCCAGTTGGAAAGCACAATGAAGGCGACCTGGAGGGCATGGTTCTTGATGTTGTGGTACGAGTGGAATCCACTCTTCATTTGGCATCAAGTGCACGCCTAAAGACAAGATTCACCCTTCCAGGATCGCCTTCAAGATCTTGAAGGCGATCTTCACGCTGTCATATGTGTGATGTGTGCCAGCCACAGTAGGCCGAGCAGAAGCCGCCTAGCAGCGATTGCTGGTCACAGGGGAGGAGTGGGCGAGAGGGAGAAGGGGGAGTGGGAGAGAGGGAGGGTGAGCAGCATGAGTCTTGATATTGCCATACGAGTGTGTCAGCCAGAGTAGGCCACGGAGAAACAGCCTAGCAGCGATTGCTAGTCAGGGGAGGAGGAGGCAAGGGAGAGAAAGAGAAGGGGAAAGAGGAAATGAGAGTGGAAAGGCGAAGGAATTAAGTAAGAGAGGAAGAGAAGGGACTGACCATGGGGATTACTGACATGAGGAAGAGGAAGTTCGCACGGGCAGTTTAACACCCGGTTCGGGTCATTTGCAGGAGTCTGATTTTGAGTCGACTCAAAGCACACGTCATTTGCAGGAGTCATTTTACATGCCACGTACCTGTTTTGTGCCTCTATCAGTGATCACGAAGTAAACCCCTTTCAAGCCGGTAGGAAACGCCTTGGCACTTAGAGCGCGACTGACTACAGGGGTGATAGCCGTGTTGCTGAAGAGGAAGCGGATGCGCGGCTTTAAATGGTGGTCGCCTGCTAGTTTCACCTCCTGAGAAACCGGGTTACCACTTCAATCCGTGTAGAGGCGGTTGATGTTCCACCATTGGGAGACTGGAAGGGAGGGTGAGAGGAAGGGAAAAGGGTTTGCATGCGGGAAAGAAGGTGGTTTTAGTGGGGGGATGCAAAAACTTGGATTTCCACTGCAGTCCGTGTTCACGCGGTTGATGTTCCAACACAAGGAGACTGAGAGGGAGAGTGAGGGAACAGGGAAGGGAGAGGGATAGGGAGGAAGCGGAAACAAGGTTATGATTGCAGTCGTTGCACAGGCGGCTATTGTTCCACCCTTGCAAGACTTAGAGGCAGGGTGAAGGGGGCGGGGAAAGGGTTGGTAAATGGGAAAGGAGCGGGAATGAGTGGGGGAATATGCAGACACAGGGTTCCAACCGCGGTCCGTGGTGTCGAAGTGAAAGGCCCCGCTCTCGCTTGGGCGCAGGCATTCTCTTCGACGACGTGGTGAAATCGACGAAGTGATCGTGGCATTAGATCAGCCCGTCTTCTGAAACCGCGGGTGGTTTTCGAGGAGGTTGTCATCTGATTTACCAGCCCAACGACGAGCTCTGGTCAACGGGGTGTTGTTCGACGAGCTCGACCTTTAATCTGCTAGTGAGTCGCGCGATCTCGGACGGACGGAGTGCTTTTCAAGGAGCCCCATTCTCTGATCGAAGGGCGCCGTTTGGCGCGCCTCGTCTCGGCGAACTGGTCGGTCAAATTCGCGCAACTGCTGAACTCTGCGAAGGCATGCAAAATTCGCTCAGGTGGTTCTTAGCGAAATTTCACTTGCGGAATGGCATCACGTGCTCGACGGCGGACATCTGACGAAACCGTCGGAACGTTTTCTGCCTGGCATCTACGCAATGTCTCCGACAGAGCAACCGTCTACCTGCACCTACTCGGCAAGTGCACCCCTGCGCAGGTATTCACATGCGAATGCAGCGCTGGCAGGTCGCCCTGCTGCAGCGCTGGCATGTTGTCCTTCTGCTATGCTGGCACGTCATCCTGATGCAGCGTTGGCGAATCGTTCTCATACAGTGCTGACAATTCGCCTTGCAGAATGCTTGATAGGGGTTGCAATGCCATTCTAGTGATAACACTTGCATGCCTCATTTTGTACTCTAATTCTGAATTCTCAATGTTTCTGTTGCCAAATTTCTCTGCGAACACAGCAAGTAGTAAGAACTTTGCGAGAGCGCTACGATCACCCGCACAACCTCGTGCCCTCCTCCGTAGTCCACTCCCATTGTAGGATGACTCTTCGCATGGTGCGGTGAGCGTGGACGGCTCCACGATAGACCTTCAAATTAGCCGACTTTTGCTCCCAATACCTAAGTCGTTGTAGGTCGGCAACCGTCTAGTCCGCCATGGACGACCAAGAAGTCGATGCAGGAGTAGTAGATACTCTACAGGCGCGGTTGGATGGTGTTCGGGCACACCACGAGGCTGGCGAGTACGGCGAGGCGGACTTGGAGATTTTGCTCCTTGGAACTCGTGCGCAGTGGACGCGTGAGCATCCCCCTTCCCGTGCTGAAGCGGACGGCGCGTCCGCCTCTCCCTGACTCGTGCACAACGAAGGTGACGGCGACAATGTTGTCGCCAGTGGAAGCACGAGGGTTTGCGGAGTGATTCGGGCCGCCGACGTCGGCGTTGGTGGAATGCAGGCGCAAGTGCTGCGGTGCAGGCAGCTCGAACGACGACATCGATGGTCGACGTCATTCTCCTCAACAGAGTGGAGTCAGGCCGATTTCGGCGACCCGGCTGGTCGATAAGGAGGCATCGGGCCGGCATACAGCTACTTCAAATTTTAGACGGACAAGATCGTTAAGTCGAAGCTGCTCGAAGGACCCTACAATTTAATCACATGGATCGAATCCATTGAGCCTCAGCTAGAGATTGCCGGACTGAAGAAGTTCGTCGACAGAAATGTTTTGGCGCCGGACGAGGAGGATGTCGAGCTCTGGTCGAAATTTTGCACTGCGCATCTTCTGACCTTTATGGTCATTTCGAGGTGCTGCTCACCTCTGGTGCAAGCCGCATTGAAGTCATGCAGACTTCGAGTGGATGCCGGCTACCAAGAGTGGCAGTACAGCACGCGCACCTACAAAGCGACCGACGAACTCTACATCAGCCAACTGAAGAAGAAATTGACCAACATTCGTATGGGGGAGCAGGAAATGGCGACCGAGTACTGCAATCGAGCGCGGCGAGTTTTGGCCGATCTGCGGATGGCCGGCGTCGACTACCCGTTGGCGTCGTATGTCACCCATGTCATCAGTGGCCTCCCCTCGGGCTACAATCTCATGCGTCGGATGCTGACAGTTCCCGGCACGCGCGAGACTCTGAACGAGGACTCGCTTTCAAGCCACATAATCTAGGACGAGTTAATGGAGGAGTCTGAGTGGTCCACAGAGCTCCTTCCGCAGGCCAATTACGTCGCTCCGACGAAGCAGGGACGTCAGACAAGGCAGCGTGGAAATTCGGGCGGAGGTGGAGGCGGTGGAGGAAAATCGTCGAACAAGAAGTCGTCGGAGGGCTCCGACCGCAGGATGTCGGCGAAAGGCAATGATCGATGTAACATTGGTTCGCGTCGAGGATGACACCGCTGTGAAAATGAACCGAGAATGAGAAATGAGAGAAGAGGGAGTTCACTAGCAAACATTGGGATACATATAGCAAACCCTAAAGGGTTGTACTCACTATAGAGTACCCCACTGCAGACTAGAGAAACATAATATTCTAACACACCCCCATAGTCAAAGTGGGGTGTAATCAGCACAGCAAGCAAAGCAGAACAAGCTCAGGGTGGATCACAATGTCACCACACATTCTGAGCACAAGTCCAAGAAGCAACAGTTCAAAGTTTACAAATGTAAGCAAAGCTAGAGGCTATCGCAGAGGGCAAGTGTGGAGGAGGAGGGACTATGAGAGGAGAGGAGGTAGTGGGCGGCAGCCGAAGCTGCTGGCACACAGCGCAACTGGAGCAACTGGCACACGGGCAACTGGAGCAACTGGCACACTGGCAACTGGAGCAACTGGCACACGGGCTACTGGAGTAACTGGCTCCGCGGCTAAAAGTAGCGGCATTCGAGCAACGGACTCACGGGCGACTGGAGCAACGGGCTCACGGGCGACTGGCGCAACGGGCTCACGGGCGACTGGCGCAACGGTCTCACGGGCGACTGGAGCTGCTGGCTTCACGGCGGCCACCCCCTTCAACCTCCCCAAACTATCCCACCCCCATTTCACACACCCCCTACTGCACCCCTAGGTTCACTCACACCCCACCCCCTGGCACCACTCCGTCGACTCCCACACACCCACCCCCCTCAGCGGCAGCTGCAGCAGTGGGAGACAGAGGAGGAGGAGGAGCAGGGGAGACCACACACCCGCCACCCCCTACTCGCCACCCCCAAACGGGGGGGGGGGGAACGACGCGCGGCCTCCCAGGGCGCCAAAACAGGCGGCAGAAGGGGCGGCGCTCGCCCCCCTCCCCCGGCCCCCGAGGGTCGCCTCGACAGGCGACGGGAAAAGGGGGGGGGGGGGGGGGGGGGGGGGGGGTGCACGTGCCCTCGGTGCGCCGCGACTGGCGACGCAGCATGGCCGGGGCGAGGCCGGGGCAGGGTCGAGGAAGGGCCGAAAGGGGCGGCGACGGGGCCGCAAGTGGCGGCGACTGGGCCGCTGGAGGCGCTCGGGGCCGCAAGGGCGGCGCGCGGGGCCGACGAGAGGCGCGCGGGGCCGACGGGTGGCGCGAGGGGCCGCAGGGGCGGTGCGCGGGGCCGACGAGAGGCTTGAGGGGCCGCAAGGGCGGCGCGCGGGGCCGACGAGAGGCGCGGCGACGGGCCGCGAGTGGCCTGGAAGGGACGGGGCCGCGCGCCTCGGGGCGCGGCCCCGTCCCAAAATCGCCGCGCGCCGGTCGCACGCCACGGGGCATGCGACAGATCGAGTAGCAGCGGAAGCAGTAGTAGGGCCCACATGCCAGGAGCATATGTGCTCTGAAACCATGTGAAAATGAACCGAGAATGAGAAATGAGAGAAGAGGGAGTTCACTAGCAAACATTGGGTTACATATAG